GAAAAGTTTTCCGACATTTTGTTTTACATCACGTGTGTAAAATCGATGTGAAGTTTCTGCAGAATTCAGTCTGGGCTCACGCTAACCGACCGGAATGTCGGCATGGATGAAACTATTTTCATTTATTTCCTAAATAATCCTCTTCCTACAATAAACCTTTTCTAAGCGCCTTGTATCCTTTGGCAAAAGGCACTATATAAATTTCTATATTATTATATTATTATTGGTATAATTAAGGAAATAGTACCTGTTTCCCATTGACCATCTTGGGTGTGCCATACCTCAGAGTAAAAGAAAAAGAAAATAAAAGCGCCCTCATTCTCCTTTTGTCAAAATATTACCTCGAGAAACTACTTTTTTTTTACTTGGCCTTAAAAGCGGAAATGCATATTAGAATTTTTTTGTTTTATAAACCTTGCATCTCAAATTTTAGTCCTCGCATTATTTGCCTTTTTTTGTATTATGCCTACTTCAATCAAGTAGATTTTGTTTTAAAGCAAATCCGACGGAAAGCGGAAACGCATTTATAATCTTTTTATTATATTACCTTGCAATAGAATATCTCTAATTTTAGTTGTTCCTCACATTATTGTGTGTTAATGTATTACATGTTTTTTTTTGTAAATGCCTATGTATTTATTAAGTATTTTTAAAATAAATTTAGATTGTTTTATGGCCTAAATTTTTGTAGTAAGGGTTTGTTTAATAATTTCTGCTCTTCCTTTTGGGGAGAGAGACCACATAAATACAATTTCCTGAATATGACATGACACACATTCCAATTATAACGCACACAGTTGTTCTAGTTAAATCACCTTTGCATTGATATAGCAGGATGACACATTCATAACAATAAAACGATAATCTCTTATTTCATGTAAGTGCTAAAATATTGAATTTTTGTGGTTTTTCCCAATCATCACTTAATTTTCAACTGTATATTATAAGCTCTCCTTCAGTATACAAGCAACGTATGTTCATTTTAAATTGACCCATTTTACTATAAAATTACCTCGTTCATTGTGACTCATTTAGTAGAACATTTTAATTTGAGATATGGAATACTCGGTTTAAGTGTATTTATCTGGGGTTCCAAGTCTGCCAGAAGACGGCACAGCCTCTCACACCACCGCAAGCTAGCAAGAATCTCTTCGAAAACAACTCATCTCCCACAAATTCATAATATTTGCATGTTTTTACTACTTTATTATAAATTGTTTCATGGATGTCAGTGCTGGTGGGTATCAACATGCGCAGCAAAATATGATTAAATTTGATAAGCAAGCTCATTTAATCAGATTTCCTGGAATGAATTTTTTTTCAAACTTGGGACCCCAGATTTGTAATCATTTAGCTCATGTAATTAAGTACTGTTAATGGTTGATTAAACACCGCGCAGCTTCTAAAATTTTCAGGTGCTTCAGTGCAGCGCTTATTCGAGAGCAGCGTTTATTCAAGAGTGGCGCTTATAAATAAATATCGGCGTGGCTCATTCCATGCCTGTTCCCACGTTACCTACTGTATCTCGCGTACTCCCATAGTACAGTAGGCCTATAATAGGTACTACGTTAACGTAAATGATCGTCTATGAAGAAATGCTTGTGTATTCATTGTGTTATTTATTTATTTTAACACTATATACATTGTATTTAAAACCCTGTTTCTCAAAGTGTTTAATTACACTCAGGGTAAGATAATACTCTTGATTAAGTGCTGTGGCGCTTTAGCTAAAAAAAAAAAAATCAGGGTTTGGTACGGCGCTTATTCAAGAGTGCCAGTACTTATTCGAGCATTTACGGTACTGTTTGTAGAGGCTTTCCTTGGCTGTTTCAATACTACTACATTTCTACCCTCGTTTCCCTGAGTATAAAATATACAATTCTTACTTTTAAAGGCTAAATGGGATATTAATGTATTCTAACGTAAATGTGTGTTTTTTAAATATTTTTAGCAAAGGGTTTATGAGCTACAGCTTTGTACTGCAAATAAAGTAAAAGTAATTTTGTTGATAAAAATCAATCAAATTACCAGAAATCACTAAAAATCTAATTCTAGGAAATGCTTTTTTCTTGAAAATGATAGACTATGACATGAAAAATCTAAACATTTGTCCACACTGTCATATTTTATTGGACAAATTTTTGTATGTGTGCCCATATATGGGCATTGTATCACATTTATTTGTCACATAAAATTTGATAGTGTGGACAGAGCACTGTAGTGTAACAGTGTGTAGGATAGTTTCTTGGCCCTCAAGAGGGCAGTAGACACAAACCATAAATAAAAATATTATTGCATTAACTTCAAGACAAAATAAAGTTCTCAGGTTTCATTGATTGATTGATTAATTTATTCCTTAATTATTAATAATGATAAGTGACATTTAAAAAGCGCTCTACGCTGTCAAGCTGATTCCAGAGCGCATGCAAATCCTATCAATCATATTTAAACAATACAGTTAACACGACATAAACAGAAATTCGTCCAACAATGTAAAGGTAGTAGTGTAGAAAACATATTTACAAAATTTATCATTCAATATAAAACAAGTAATTCACCAGTTGATAAGTCTAGTTACAATGAATTAATTTATATTATTTACAAAAATATACAGTAGTATATGGTAGAGGTTTTTAATCAGACAGTATAGAAAAGACAATTGCTAATAATATCAATAAAAAAATTACAATATAGAGAACATTACAAAAATTAATAATTGAGTACAAAAATATATCAACCAATTACATCATTATCTGATAATCATTTATTAAAATATATTATTACCTGCAAGATATCTGAATTTACACCAGATTTGAAACATTCATGAAATGAAACATTTACTACTTTGTATTAATTTTTTTCATGGAATGATGCTATTTTTTAGGATCTGTGCAAATGGTTATGACAACGATATGTGGGTTTTTCAAAATGTTTATACCTTGTTGTCTTTATCGTCACAAATCACGGGAAGAGCGCCCTCCGGGTTTCATCAAGAATATGATGCTCCTTGGAATCATGCGGTGAGTGATCATTAAAATTATTTTTTTTTGCTTTATAAAGTGTATTTTTGAATTCCTAAAGACTAAAACTGCTAAAAAGTTACTACTCAATATAGAAATAATGAAAATTACTCAAACTTGACCCCGAAAATTACATACCGGTAAATTGTTTCTTTTTGTGAGACTGTCACAATGGCATTGGGTCCATGGGTTGTAGCTGAATAGCTACAACCCATGGACCCAATGGAGTGGAGTGAGGGAGGATATAGTCCTTGCATAGGCCTTACGTGACTCTGTTTGGTGTGTCCATCTTAACAAAGCTGGAAATACTGGGAGAAATGCTACGGTATAAACATGTTTTTGCGTTACATGGTGCTGAAGTAATCATCTTTCTTACTGGAGAATTTGGAGAAAATTGTAGTTATCAACAGAGGGCACTGTTATTTTCTGATGTGTAAATAAAAAGAAGACTCCTGAAAGGAGTATGAATGTAATGCAGAAACTAGGTCAAAATTACTCATTTACCCATTATCAGACAAGATGCTATTAGCCATTGGTCATCTGTCAAAACTTAACAACCAATTACCAACTCCCTGATAAAGCTACACTGAACCTGTACTTGGCATGCCTGTCAAATGAAATGAACTGAAATCATGGAGGTAAACATGCTGAAATGAACCGTAACACATTCCATTTTACAGAAAAATTCTATGAACCCTAACACATTCAATTTTGCATAAAAATTCCACTACCACAGCATAGAGTACTGCACCAGCATTGATATTAAAAAATGAAACCAAAAAATAATCACATACTACATGTGTAGTGTAGGTATACTTTAATGCCCTTATGGCATTCCATAGTTATCCAGTACATTAATGCCATTTTTGCCTTCCATAGCTAACAGGCATTCTTATGCATTCATGCATATCTAATTATGTAACACTGAATTGTACACTGGATATTGCATTACAGTGTAATTCTTGAGGCAGGTATAAATTGTTTACCATCTGGATCAGTGAGGCAGGAAATACTGTTTTTAGATTTGCAGTGTTTAGTACAGTGTAAAACAGCAACTATTTGAATCGGGTTATAATACATTTGTGGTGTTTGTCTAAACAAAATTGCCTTCAAAACAATAACTAGACTCATCTAGACTGGAGTGTTTTCTTGAAGTAGGCCTACAGCAGAGCAACCATGTGGACCCATGACAATATCCGATTTTTATTGAGAGTGTATGGAAAGGCATCTGCCCAAGGGCGCCTAGATGGTACACGGAGAAATAATTCAGTATACAGAGAAATAGCTGATCGGTTTAAAAAAGATTTAGATGTGACAATGTCAACCACTCAAATTATAAATAAACTAAAGAATCTCAGACGCGAGTATGTGAAAGCAAAATCCAATAGCAAATCGGGATGGACGAAAGCGTCTATACCATTTTACGATGAAATTGACCAGATTGTTAAGAGAAAGAACGTTCAGGAGAACCATGAGGTTGACAATGACAAAGACAAGTCTGAAATGTACCAGGAAAAAGAAGGTATGCTTTATTATTCTATTTTTAGACTAAACAGATATCTGATTTGCCAGTATAAAAATAGTATTCTTATGTAATCTAATATTTTTGTGGCTATCGTTACACCAGTTGTAAACTAATTTTGTAAGCTGTTGTATACACCACTCCCTGTTATTGGTAGAGAGGGAAGGCAGTAAAGATAGTGTAAGATAAAGAAGGATGAAATGAGCACATCTTTACTGTACTATTGTTTACTGGTGGTGCTTAATAGGAATACTTGTACATACTGTATAAAAACAGTTTCTTGGAGATGAATTCTTCAACTTCAAGGTAATTACCCTGTATGTACTGGTGATTTGACTGCATGATGTAGTACAGTACATCAGCAATACAGGGCCCGACCATGATCGTTAAATGAAAATTTCTTCCCAATCATCACCAGTGTGTTATAGTGTACGTATACATAATTGTTATTGTGCATGGTTTGAATTATAACTGAGTAAATACAGTTACAATGCACATAATAGATTACTGTACACTTTAAAGTAGAATTTTTGGTGATAAACAATGCTGTAACCTGATTCCTGATTAATGATATTTATTTCTTTAATAAAATCCTGAATTTAATTTGTTAAAATATTTATTTCTTTCAAAATTTTAATAGTCATATATTTTCCTTCTGGGCCATTTTTACCTATTTGTAGGGCTGTTCTTATTGGAGAATTGTTTACTGGAAAATTGTTTACAAGGGTCATTTAACTATACTAATTATAATGAATTGTAATGTTCGCAGTAAGGTATACAGTATTATACTAAAATGGCAGTCACTAAGTCTCATAGGCTTTGTGCTGTGCTTGGAGTTTGAATTTGTTTAAGAACTCTAATTGTTGATCAGTTTTTCTGCTGTACTTTTATCGTCATGAATGTTCACTATTTTCAGGAAGTTTAACAGCTGAAGGTGAAGAAACAAGTAAAGACAATGAAAGCGAGATTGGTGAGTATCATATTTGTGAGGTCTCACTATGAATGAAATGAGATGCATCGTTGGTGAGGCCATGATGACCAAATGTAGGTTTTAGCATTTTAAACCTAATATTTGACAATTCATTATGGCCCAAAATCCATGACTCAGAAATGCTGGAATGGTGTCCAGCGGGGGATAGTTTTACCTATAGTACTGGCCTTTATTACAATTACAATATCAATCTTCAAGATCCAAAGTCTTGACTCAGATATACTGGGGTGGTGTCCGGAAAAGGATAGTTTACTGTATTACCTGATATTGTTATCTGGTTTATATTATTTCTGTATATTTAGCTTTCAAATGTGTTTCAATGTAAAATAAATTTTATACATGACAAATATTAAACTGAATACAAAATACTGTACTACTGTACTTTAATATGATAGTATAATACATAATCCAAGTATCGAAATACACGCCATCGTGTCGGGATTCAATATTTCAACATTAATTATGTCATCATCAGTAAAAATTCAATGTCATCATCATTCCTGATCGATGATGACATAATTAATGTCGAAATATTGAATCCCGACCCGATGGCGTGTATTTTGATACTTGGAGTATGTATTATACTCTCTTATCTGAGATTAATCAGTGGACCTTTCGGTACTTTAATATTTTATGATTTGAAAACTCATAATGCTAAGTATTCATTGTAATTTGCCTAGATTACAGAATGGAGAATTTGATGGCAGATCTGCCAGATGATGCTGATACACAAGATGAACTGGGTATGTACAGTAAAGCGCTGTCTACTGTACACTATCAAAGTTTATGTGAAAAAAACTTGTGACATGCCTGAATACTGTATGGTAGACAGTACAACATTTTTTTTTCATAATAGAATTTGATAGTCTGGACAGGGGCTAAAGAGGAATATGGTAACCTACTGTTCTTTGAAGATCTTAGTTTGAATCCTGATGAAGTTATTAAATTTCCTCATGTCAGTTGACCTTTATCCTAATGGGATACTCACTAATAAACCAGAAAACAAGGGGACATTTCTCAAAGATATTCACCATTACAGGTAATAATACCTTCATTTGTTGTACCAAACTCTACTTTATCTTTTTCTTGATTACAACAATGAAAGCAATCTACATACGAGTGTCTAACATACAGTATGTATTTATATATATTGCGACTAATTTTTAATAAATAAATAAATAAGTGTGTGCTCTTAAATGTGGAGATCTCTTGGTCCTCGGTTCAATTCCCATCCGCTGCCTCTCCTTATGTTTCAGCTGGAGGGCTGAAATGCAAGCTACGATAGCGCACCGTCCTTTGGATGAGATGTTTAAGCCGTTGGTCCCGTGTGCATTTATGGCCCATGTGCATGTTAAAGAGTAGGGGATTGTCTCCCGGGGTACTGGCCAATTCACCACTGGATGGACCCACTGGAAACAAGTCTTCGCCCTAATAGTGGGTTATCCTTCGTGTGATTCACACCAAAATACTCCTATCTTGAGAACTAACTCATCCTTTTTGGAATATCATATTTAACTACACTTAAATTATTTACTTTTAAACTTTTTTCTTCCCTTCCCAGAATAGATCACCTTCTACATACCTACTGCTATACACATCTCCATCCATCATCGTCACAATGATTCAAGAACCACAAACTGTAACAAACCCACAGCATCACTTCTTGTACATTGATTATTTAAGGCACAGGTGGGCAAAGTGCGATGTGTATAAGAGACAGGTGCATGGATTGAATTATAACTGAGTAAATACAGTTACATTGCACATAATAGATTACTGTACACTTCAAAGTAGAATTTTTGGTGATAAACAATGCTGTAACCTGATTCCTGAATTAATGATATTTATTTCTTTAATAAAATCCTGAATTTAATTTGTTTAAATATTTATTTCTTTCAAAATTTTAATAGTCATATATTTTCCTTCTGGGCCATTTTTACCTATTTGTAGGGCTGTTCTTATTGGAGAATTGTTTACTGGAAAATTGTTTACAAGGGTCATTTAACTATACTAATTATAATGAATTGTAATGTTCGCAGTAAGGTATACAGTATTATACTAAAATGGCAGTCACTAAGTCTCATAGGCTTTGTGCTGTGCTTGGAGTTTGAATTTGTTTAAGAACTCTAATTGTTGATCAGTTTTTCTGCTGTACTTTTATCGTCATGAATGTTCACTATTTTCAGGAAGTTTAACAGCTGAAGGTGAAGAAACAAGTAAAGACAATGAAAGCGAGATTGGTGAGTATCATATTTGTGAGGTCTCACTATGAATGAAATGAGATGCATCGTTGGTGAGGCCATGATGACCAAATGTAGGTTTTAGCATTTTAAACCTAATATTTGACAATTCATTATGGCCCAAAATCCATGACTCAGAAATGCTGGAATGGTGTCCAGCGGGGGATAGTTTTACCTATAGTACTGGCCTTTATTACAATTACAATATCAATCTTCAAGATCCAAAGTCTTGACTCAGATATACTGGGGTGGTGTCCGGAAAAGGATAGTTTACTGTATTACCTGATATTGTTATCTGGTTTATATTATTTCTGTATATTTAGCTTTCAAATGTGTTTCAATGTAAAATAAATTTTATACATGACAAATATTAAACTGAATACTAAATACTGTACTACTGTACTTTAATATGATAGTATAATACATAATCCAAGTAT